CAAGATTTTCCTAGACGAATGTCTCTTTTGAAGGATGAGACAAAAGATTTCATATTTCCGAAAATTGCCACAAAAATTGCCGCAAAAATCGCCAGTGTAAACGGGGCTTTAGACGAGAATTCATATAAGACAAATTGATTGGATGGCAAACATTACGTCAAGTCTTGGATATAGGTATAAACGAATGTCATAGCTGAGGTTTGGATGAATAGGAAATAAAACCACAGTTAACCATAGTTAATGAAGTGGAATGGTTGGAAAATCTATTGTTCTAGGCCGTTTTTGTTCGATTTTATCCATTGTTATATGACGTTGACCGTGCACAGAGAAGGAAACGTTGCTCCGTTTGTTCTAGTATTCGGGATTATAGAAGCTTCTTTCCCTAAAAAAGAGTATTAAGATAGTTATCATTTGTTAATTAATATCATATGATTAAGATTAATTGTCTATTAAAAAGGAAAGTTTTCATGTTTTCTTATTTATCATGTATCTGCGCGGAAATATTTATCCGCATGGTTTTTGATCATCGAATGAACGTTTTCACTTTCAAAATGTTCATACATGAAAATAATAAGGAATTCGAAACCTGTATTTTCAGCCATACTTTCTTTGGTTCATTATGCATTATATTGATGGGTTTCAACATCGCTTGCAAACAATAGCTTTATTCTATGGGGTTCCAAACCATTCCGCTCTATTAACTAATTCTATACACAGCGCCGAGTTCTATGAATCACTGGCCATGGTAAAGACCTGCGAAACAGATCAGTATGTCGTTTATGTAACACATGCACTTATAGTTAAATATAAACACGGGTATTCAAAGACACGTCTCATACACAGCGCCGAGTTATATGAATCACTGGCCATGGTAAAGACCTGCGAAACAGATCAGTACGTCGGTTATGTAACACATGCACTTATAGTTAAATATAAACACGGGTATTCAAAGTCACAGACAAATGAGTCTTTCAAAAGGAAATGGGAATCTAAATGATATGCTATTATCGTTTAAAATGGAAGAATAATACATAAAGCGTATTCTTCAGTGACAGTAAGGCATATTTAATGGCTCCCACGGTTCCCTTTGCTTGGGCAATTCCAATTTCCGTTGTATTTGCGTTAGTTGTATGTAAGAAAAGAAAAAATGATGGGAAATTAATAGGAAACATTGTCTTTTGTATGAACCAATAACGTTATTCCTAAACTGAGTTCAATTATTATGTTTCGAAAAATTCAGACGTCCGATCCATTTGGATTTGGATATAAAAAGCTAAAAATAAAACTATTGGAATAAAATTATAAAAACCATCGATTAATTGTGCCATGCACTCACAGTACTTGTTATCGAAGGTCTTATTATTTGAGGAAGATAAGTACAAAATTTCAATAAAGAACAAGAAATTGCCATCTAATTTAGTGCGTGGGAATAGGCGTATTTGATATAAAACGAGGCTTCTTCCACTTGAATTTGAATGAATTTAATCCACGCTTTAGTCAGGGACCTAATTTTGGTAGTCCATTGTCAGGGAATGAATGAATAAATACGAGAACACGAATCGAGTCTCATAACTCATGATTCATTTATCAGGACCGAATCTTTTATTTGACTTAAAATTTATTCTCGCATAAGTATCCTTCACCCAGCTTCAGGAGTTGCTTAAACTAACTTGCTTGTTAGCTTGCGCTAACTTCATTATAGCAAGTTTTTAAAAGCACAAAACGTGTCGCTATAGCACCAACTATAAATGCACTCTAGTACGTTTTCTCTAGCTAGCACTGTGGTCTCCTAAGGCTTCAGCTTCTATGAATGTCAAAGGTTTAGCTTAAATCAAGTTATATAATTGCATGATTTGATTGACTATCTTTATCTTATTGTTTTCGCTTGCCACTTGCTGCGAAAAATGGTCTACGCCGTTTAAGATTACTGGAGACCTTCAGGGGTATGTTACGTTTAAAACTCTCTCTACGCAACACGTTCAAAAAAAACCCCTTAAAACTACAAATCGTTTTAAAAATCAGATGATAAAGATTACGAAAAATATATTATTTGAAAGCGATTTTCTAATTTGGAACAATGCCGGAGCCTCAAACACGAATCGGGTCATTCCATAGATGTGAATTAAATATTTCTAAAAAAGAAATTGTTGAAAAGGAAAGATTAGCCAACGAACTTTTGTGTTATTTATTTATTTATTTATTTATTTATTTATTTATTTATTTATTTATTTATTGGGAAAGTTGCCCACCAAGGTCTACAGTAACCTTAAGCTTTTGCATTGAACAGAGCCACGTTACATTTACGTTTAAAAGAACCTTTTGGCTTTTCAAGCTTGACGTCATGCTCATCTGATCCAAAGGGATTCTTTAAAAACATCCGTTCACCATTTTTGAAGCCAGCAATACTCTTGACCAATAGCTTTAGTCTCGCTTACGATTATTGTCCTTTGGCATGTTATTGGTGCAGACCGACCACTGGCAATGATTTATTTCATTTTATTTTATTTTTTGCAAGCGGTAAATTAGTAAGTAGGAGAGGAATTAAAGAGGACTGTCATATTTAAAATGAAACAGTAATGATAAAAGGGTAAATTGTACGCCGTGAAAAGAACTATCATTACTGTTTCATTAGAAACACTGACGCAGCTCACACTAGTTTTTAGATAGTTATCTCTTCATATTTAAAATGATAGAGTTGTTAAACTAAATAGGTTGAGTTTTTTATCCATCATCATCCTTGAATCCTAACAAGCTGGTTCTTTGGGTCAACTGTTCATTTAACACCCTTTCTTAACATTCAAAGTCATGAAGTTCTGCTTCTTCAAAGATGCAGGGAGTGGAGTAATTTTAATACGGCGATGTTGTTGAAATACGCCTATTACCTTGTAAACATTGTTGATCAAACCTCTTGGCTTTTCCAACTTGACGTCATCTGATCCAAAGGGATTCTTTAAAAGCTGTTTGACGGCCGCTCGAAACCTGGTTGTACGTGCAAGATAGATCAAAGGATTGCATCCACTTGAGAAGTACAGGAAAAAATTGGCAGCAAAACCGAACCACTTGATCTCATTGGAACTCAACATTTCTTCTGGACCAACAGCAGCGTACAAGATGCAAGGCACATAGCAAAGGATATAAGCAGCTATGATGAGGCCAATGGTCCAGGCGGCTTGCACTTCGCTTCGTGTTCGGGCCCTGTCCAGTTGAGTCTCTTGGGAATCGTGTTTTTCCTTGCGTAGCTTTGCAAATTTCTGTAAAAAGAGCGACCAAGAAAAGAACAGGTGAAAACCAATGTAATGTACCATGTACATGCCATGTTACATTAGGTGAAATGAAAAAGAAAAAAAAAATCAGTTGGTTGTTAAACTAATGAGTGAATAAGATAAAAACTGAATCATCATTTTAAAAAGTTAGGAACTGTACTGATGTTTGAAACCTAGCAGTACAGTTCCAAACAATATTATACAGTATTTCATCTTTGAACTTCCTCCATATGCAATTGCATGGTCTCTATTCCACACACGACTGTACAGCCCCAAGAAGCAACAAATATCAAGTCGCCATTTACAATTACCATATACACTAGACTGAAACATTAATATTTTACTGCAACTCATTTTACTCATTGGTACGACAATCTACCGTTTCATTCGCTATCAAAAAGGGTTTATTCAAAATGGCCAAAACGTGCAGCTTCATTAGTTTGGTCAATAAAACTATTTTACCTTCAATTTACGTTTATAACTCCAGAATGTCAGCACGGACAGAAGTGTGGTCGCCAGGCCGAACATTAAGTAGATGAAAAAGGAAGCAGTTCTCCCAATCTCGTTGAAGTAGGCTATCCGATACTTGTAAGTGGGGACGTCACCAAGATTAAGCTGACTAGCCAAAATTACCCATGGTAGAGTAATAGTGATGGATAACAGCCATACCACACATAGTGCCCTTGCAGCCTTGGCTTTGGTCTTCCTGATGTAGTATCGCAGCCCCCAGGATATCGCAATGTATCGATCGGTCATGGTCACTACCATACTCGTGATTTTTAACACGTTGAAGAGGTTTTGTGCACTTGCTACTGCTAACGACACCCATCTACCATGTAACGTCTCTTCAAACTCAAGAACGCCAACAATGGTAAAGAGTGGAAGATTGATTAGGATATTGAACATATCCACGATGGCCAGGTTTGCCAGGAACATGTTAGGAATGGTACGGATGGATTTGAACCTTTTCATCAGAATACAAACGGTTGAATTTCCAGTGAGAGAGACCAGGGCAAGACATCCCACCAGGATAACTTGAGTGATAGTAGTGAAACTAGTTGGTGACTTGCCATAGTTGGTACTGCTGGGCTGAGTAACTTGTGGGACATCGGAGTCTGCTGGTGACGCCTCCATTGACCTGATGTGACAACTTTGGCAAAGACTGGAAGAAACAGTTCTGTCGTCCTTGTATTTTATGGATTATTTCAAACCTTCGGAAAAAAAAAATCTTTTCTTTAAGCAAAACGGAAAAAAAAAATTATTGAATAGAACTATTACAATCAAACCTAGCACTCATTTCCTCTTTCGACACCTAAGGAAATTGATCCCTTTTAACACTAATGGAGCAATAGTTTGAAAACGAATATGCCCTTTTTATAAACAGTCACGTACTGGCGAATCTATTCAGCCAAAGGTGCCGTTGGAAAAGGCTCTGCTGACAAGCAATCAAACTGTAAAATGTAGTTCAGTGGTGGAGCATCCGAGCTGCATTAGGGAGGTTCGATTCCTATCAGGGACTGCGTTTAAGAACGAGATTTAAATCCTTTTTTTATAAAATATGTGAGATATAACGCGTGCGCCTATTGGCTGGCTACCGTGCTTATATAAGAGGACAGAGACACACTCGCTCACCAAAAGAATTTTATAAAACCAGTATAAAACGGCTGCTTACATCTCTGTACTGTGATGTAAACAGGCTGGAAGCTGTAGAGTAGTCGAAAAGCACTCGGCCACGTTTCGTCTTCCTAAGCTCCCTAGTTTTCGTGCTCTACAGCGCCCAACGTGTTTATATCTTAGTACAAAAACATGCGCGCTCGTTTTATATTCCTTAAATAAAAAATCGTGACGGCTTTTAGCAGACTAAAGTTCTATTTTAGTAGTATAGTTAATGGAGCAGAGTGGTTGGGAAACCCACTGTCCTATGTTTTTGTTCACTTTATCCATTGTTCATAGATTCGGGAATATAGAAGTTTTTAACCCTAAAAAACGTTCTAAAATACTTATTATTTGTTAATTAATCCTATATGATTAATACAAATTGTTTATTGAAAATGAAATTGCCTTTTTTCATGCTTTTTTATTTATCATCTAGTAACTTAGCTGTATCTGCGTGAAAATATTTATCCGCATAGTTTGTGGTCATCGAATGAAAGTTTTTACTTTCAAAATGTTCATACATGAAAATAATAAGGAAATGAGCATTTTCAGCCATACTTGCTTTGGTTCTTGTGCACCGTCAGTAACACGCGATGGTACGGTTCAACATCAAACGCAAAACAATAGCTTTGTTCTATGGAGTTTCCAAACCATTCCGCACTATTAACTATGCTTAATAGTTTAAAGGCTATTGATGGGTTGCAAGCAATCCCAAGAGAGTCAAAAGACAAAAACATGGCGGCCATTGTGGTGCCGTTAACAATGGATGGACCCAATGGATGCTAATGAGAAATCTTTTGTTAAATGGTACCAACATGGCCGCGATGACGTAACGTGCAATCGAAGAATTGGTTTGTTTCATTTCAGAAAGCCAGACAAAACACACAACGTTAAAAAACAAACAGACCACGGACGTTTTTCTATTTGCATGCTCTGACGAAACTTTAATCGCAGTGTTAAATAAGTCACTGGAAATTCTAGAGACCAGAATAAAATCACTAGAAAATCTTTAACATTATAACGTAATTTTTTCACGAGGGTAGCACTTAATAGCCAGTGGCTAACAAACCTGTGGCCCTCATTCCATGATCGAATTAGAATCTGGGAGTTCATGTTTGCGGAGGGAGGAAAACCGGAGAACCCGGAAAACCCCCGAAGCACAGGAGAGAACCAACAAGCAACTCTACTCCCATACGACACCGAGCTCAGCGGGACTCGAACCCGGGTCGCATTGGTGAGAGGCGAGTGCTCACACCGCTACGCCACCCGTGCTTCCCTTCATACATTCTTGGTAGAAGGCTTTCCAAAATTAACCATGCACTTTCGAAGTAGAATGGAGTGAAATAGTCAAGTCCAATGATTGGATAGAAAACATTGTTTTGTGGCTTTTCTCCCCATTCCCTTTTTGGGATTTCTTGTCCTTATCCCAGCTGGCACACCCAGCTGGCATACATTGCATACAGTGCTACAGACAAGTTATGTAACAAACTTGTGGTTGAATATAAACACTCCCCACGTCCATTAAAGACCAATTAGACTTGGAACAAACTAATGAGACACTTTAAGAGGAAATCGAATTCACAAAGGTCTACTCAGGAATTATTGTTTGAAAACCGACTTAAAACAAGCTGAATTCTTCGTTTATGGCTTGACAGATTTGAGATATCCTACAGTCAGTTCGGGCGATCGCGATAGACTAGACAAAGATACTCGGGAATTAAGAAGCCACCAACGAGAAATTAAAAACGATGGGGTTTTCAAGCCCAACAGCAAACCTTGAGACCTCACAAGCCACTCAGACCAGCAGTACCAACTATGGCAAGTCACCAACTAGTTTCACTACTATCACTCAAGTTATCCTGGTGGGATGTCTTGCCCTGGTCTCTCTCACTGGAAATTCAACTGTTTGTATTCTGATGAAAAGGTTCAAATCCATCCGTACCATTCCTAACATGTTCCTGGCAAACCTGGCCATCGTGGATATGTTCAATATCCTAATCAATCTTCCACTCTTTACCATTGTTGGCGTTCTTGAGTTTGAAGAGACGTTACATGGTAGATGGGTGTCGTTAGCAGTAGCAAGTGCACAAAACCTCTTCAACGTGTTAAAAATCACGAGTATGGTAGTGACCATGACCGATCGATACATTGCGATATCCTGGGGGCTGCGATACTACATCAGGAAGACCAAAGCCAAGGCTGCAATAGCCCTATGTGTGGTATGGCTGTTATCCATCACTATTACTCTACCATGGGTAATCTTGGCTAGTCAGATTGATCTTGGTGACGTCCCCACTTACAAGTATCGGATAGCCTACTTCAACGAGATTAGTAGGACTGCTTCCTTTTTCATCTACTTAATGTTCGGCTTGGTGACCACACTTCTGTCCGTGTTGACATATTGCAGTTATAGACTCAAATCAAAGGTAAGTTTCGTTTTTATTGATTTAACAATGCTGCTATTGTGAATATTAACGAAGACTCGCGGCTCGGTAAATATTCCACCGATTATCACTTTGCCTTAGGCGAATAATTGTTAAATAGTTGAATTGAAAACAAAGGTATATGACATCGGTTTTCACCTGTTCTTTTCTTGGTCGCTCTTTTTACAGAGTTTTGCAAAGCTGTGCAAGGAAAAACACGATTCCCAAGAGACTCAGCTAGACAGGGCCCGAACACGAAGCGAAGTACAAGCCGCCTGGACCATTGGCCTCACCATAGCTGCTTATATCCTTTGCTATGTGCCTTGCATCTTGTACGCTGCGGTTGGTCCAAAAGAATTGCTGAATTCCAATGAGATCAAGTGGTTCGGTTTTGCTGCCCCCTATTTCCTGTACTTCTCTAGTGGATGCAATCCATTGATCTATCTTGTACGAACAACCAGGTTTCGAGCGGCCGTCAAACAGCTTTTAAAGAATCCCTTTGGATCAGATGACGTCAATCTGGAAAAGCCAAGAGGTTTAATCAACAATGTTTACAAGGTAAAAGGCGTATTCAAACAACATCGCCGTATTGAAATTACTCCACTCCCTGCATCTTTGAAGAAGCAGAACTTCATGACTTTGAATGTAAGAAAGGGTGTTAAATGAACAGTTGACCCAAAGAACCAGCTTGTTAGGATTCAAGGATGATGAGCATGTATGGATAAAAAACCAACCTATTTAGTTTAACAACTCTATCATTTTAAATATGAAGAGATAACTAGCTAAAAACCAGTGTGAGCTGCGTCGAGGTTTAAATATGACAGTCCTTTTTAATTCCCCTCCTACTTACTACTTCACTGCTTGCAAAAAACAAACAAACAAACAAACAAAATCATTGCCAGTGGTCGGTCTGAACCAATAACAGCCAAAGGACAATAATCGTAAGCGGTCAAAAATTGCTGGCTTCAAAAATGATGGACGGATGTGCAAAATGTGCAATAACCTTAAAAATGAGCCGTTACCGTTAAATAGAGAGGTCGATAATCAGGTTTTAGGGACAGGTGTAGCTAAGAGTAGTGTTGTTCACTTCAAGGGAACACAGTGAAGAAAATACTGAGGAAATAGGGTTCAAAATTAATTTCATTTTTCAAAAACAGTCTGCTGTTGTTAACATTACTAGGTACTAAAATTTTTTATTTTTCGATAGTAATCTGAGGAACAATTTTGATGGAGAAAATTTAAAAAGATATAAGGAATTTTTTGCGTTTTTAGATATATTTTTGGTTAAAAAACGCCGCTACCGACGCCATCATAAAGTCATAAAGCGCAATCTCATTTTCACGAGATTAGTTCGCTCTTTCTTAACTAAAATACTCTATTTTCCTCTTTAATTTTTCATATATATCATTTAAAGGAAATCATATATAGTTTCTAGTGGGATTAAGAATAAATTCAAACTCGTGGGTTTCCTAAGAGGCAGTTGAAATAGCACTATATTACTCCTTCAAAACCATTGTTCAATTTATTCCAAATAGCACTCGAAACAGTGTGATTTCCTATCCAAACAATAGATCAGTGTTTTGAACATGGGTTTTTAAAATCATAATTAATCTTAGTTTGTCTGAACTAATGAGTTAGCTAATTGATTCTTTGACGTATACTTTCAGTTCGTAGCTCGGTCTTGAGGCTTTTGTTCGACGAAGTTTGCGAGTCATTGCAGCCAGCTGTTCCATGCTCGTGATGGGAAACCAAGGTGACTTGAATCTAGGCGCTCAATGCATTGTTGGTCAAAACCAAATATTTACCACAACAAGCACTAAAAATACGATTTCTCAAAAATGTTTTGTAAATCTTTCCGCAGATAAGTTTATTTTCTTTATTTTCGGGAAAAAATGTGTTGTTCATCCAGTTGAAACCCTGGAACTAGTAAATTAAAAATTTAATTTAAATTTATTTCCTTTATTTTCTCTCCTATGCTACGAGGTTTTTCTCCGGGTTCTCCGGTTTCCTCCCTCCATAAAAATCAACATGTGAGTTGAGCGTTGTGTGCATAGAATATTAAATGTAGTGGTAGTGCGTGTGAGTGAAAAGTGTCCCAAATTAGTGCGAAAGCGCTAGAACGACTAGACACTTAAATAAAAAGTGATTTATTTATTTCATTTTATTCCTAGGACTGAATTAATTTTGTTCCAGTTACTCCAGACTGAATGCATTCCTTTCACAGCACTTTACCAGGTTTCAAGTAACATCATGTGACCCAAAAATAGCCCATTGCTTGGCTGGTTTACTCATGAATTATTAATGAGTATGAGAATGAGTGGTAGTGGTTGAGTGGTAGTGGTTGAGTGATA